TGTTTATTCATTTATTTGGATTCATTTATATTTTCATTCCTTTAGAGGCTTCATGTTTATCTATTCCATCACGTCTCCAGTCGTGACCTACTTTTGTGTGTGTGTTTGTGTGTGTTGGGAATTTGTACACTATCAATAACTATACAGTTAATTAAAAATTTCTCAATGTTCTGAATTTCCTCAATATAACTGCATATGAAGCTAAAATTCTCCAAAAGTGTTCAAATAAAAAAAATTTCCGGGGGCACGCGCCCTTAGAACTCTCAGATGTTTAGGCTCCTTCACTCGCCACCCCCACCCTCTTAAGGTAGATTATGACTGAGGGCCTCCACAAAAAGCTGCCCATGGGCCTCCCACAGGTCTAAATCCAGCACTGGCTCAATGCCACCCCAAGTCAGACAACACGTCACTGAAAACATACACTGTGTGTGTGTGTGTGTGTGTTCTGTAACATTAAGCTTCACCCATAGTAGGCAAGATGTGTTTCATAAAGAGGTTTCTGCATTCGTGTTTGCAGGCATCGTCCCAGAGCACATGTTTCCATCAAAACCATGGTTCATCCTTATTTCCGTCTTCCGTGTAACTATATCCATATGGCTAAGTGCTTGCTTTTCATTTTTTAATTTCCCAAAATAATGTGGATGGGAGTTGCTCGTTATTTATACATACATGCACTTAGAGCATCCAAGATTGTTTTGTAGAAGCGACTGTTGGTTGAAATTGAAACCCCCATAATTTCCACATTTTTGTGCATAAACATTTGACTCATATATATGTAGATTATTGTAGTATATAACATATATTTAGCAATGTCTGGACAAATTCCCAAGAGTTGTGCATATTAATGCATAGATTTTGTAAACATACTTTATGCGGAAGTGATGTAAAAACCACATAGTAAATACCTGGGACAATTCGAGTTTGGGAAACGAAGTCTATGTGGCTAACGAGTTACCCAGAGCTAACTCACCACCTCTAAGAGCACTGTCGTAGGCGGAGATTTAGTCCTTGACACAGGTTAATTCGTGTCCAACCTCCTCTGCTGCTTTGTAACTAGCTGCCAATCTGAGGTGGGCATCAGAATCTACCAATTTGCTCGCAGAATGTTCAAGCTCCTCCTTATTCCTCCACATTTCTCTCACTGCCTCATAAGTTTTCTCCTCCAGCATCCATTCCAGCAACCATATGCCCATTGATTTTCTATTGGATTACAATCACGGCTTCTTTGAGAGAGTCCAATAGAATAATCTGCAGGTGCGCCTCAAAACCCACTTGACTGCCTGACTTGTATGTATTGGACTGCGGTCTTGCACACCATACATATAGGCTGTGGGTCTGGGGATGGTATATATGAGTTTGCTGGGAGGATGGTTTACTTAGAGTCTGTTAGTGTGGTGGGCAAAGCCAGAAAACTCACAATAAACTGTAACCCATGGACAATGAGACATTATTAAAATATACTTTGGTCATTTTAGCTCATTTTTTACATTATATATAGAACCTATTGATCGCTTTCAGGCACAAACTTTGGTTACATGTTATCGCTAACTAGTTTGCTGGGGTGACCATATGTATATATAATATATATATATATATATATATATATATATATATATATATATATATATATATATATATATATGAACGGAAAGCTTTGCAGCAGTTCCCTATTGGCCCGTACTAGGCAGTCCCAGCCACCCAGCTGGTGCTCCTTCATCCAACCCTATGTTTGAAGCTATCCTGCTCTACGTACATGTACTTGCGTATGCAAAAATTCAACTTACTATTTAGATAAATGTTATCGTTTTTCACAACGTATTTGCTAATGAGGATTTGAAATTTTATAAGAGACTATGAATATGTTGAAACACTATTTCGCACATTAATATCTGATAATATGAAAATGAAACAAATTATTCTAATTAGCATTGAAAATGCAAAGAAACCATCCAGTGTCGTGCAGTATTTTAAGTCAGCCTGGGTTTTGGTTCTATTTTCATGATGTTTTTTTGCCATAATTTCAGTATTCGCCTGTTATTTGGACCTCCACCATTCATGTCCGTCTTGAGTCCCAGTGAAGATGTTCGTGACAGCAAAACGAAGCAGTCACGAGGTAAATTCTTGTGGTTTGGGTGATTTTCATTGTCGTGTCATTGGATGTTTCGGCTCCTGATGTTTATTTACTGTATGTAAAGGACGTTGAAGTACCGGATGTATTGCTTACGATGTTTCGCCTTCTGATATTTTAACCGACTTAGGTCAGGATACATTACTCCTGAGGGTCACTGGCTCACTCCTAGGGTCTCCCAGTCCACTTAGTTGTGAATGAGGAAGTGCATTTGGTCGCGTGCTATACCGACCACAGTGCCTCTTTATGTACTAAAAAAAAATATTAATATAAAGTCTGCTCGAGTTAGGAAATTTCTAGGTCGATACACCATCGCCTAAAACGTACTGTGCTGGATCGATTAAACGAAAATAATAACATTTACATCGTTTTTTAATATGAGGGAGAACCCTTGCTTCTCTTCACCACAGTTACATAAGAGTGTTATCACGGTCATAAAGTTCAATGATGTCTTTCATACAGACCATGAAAAATAGGTTACTGAGACTTTTTTATCAATTGTCTGAGGTGTGAGGCAACAAGAAGGCCGCAACAGCAGTATAAAAACCTTTGTTCCCGCCAGCAGGCATCACAGCTCCTCCCAACATGGCTCAGAAGGTACACACAACTGTGGTGAGGTGTGACACTCACTTGAGGGTCAACCTCCTGACAGCAACATCAAAACGTATTTCCTGCACCTGACCACAACTTGCCGAGATGACCGGTGTTCTTTTTAGGGTTATATAAACAAGAAATAAATTAATCATAAATTGGTTAGTTAGTGATGAGCGTCATTATGGTGTAAAGATGTATAACGCTGAATGGGAGCGCCTCACGTTACGTTTAGATTTATAATGTTTTGTAATGGTTCTTACCATTGATCTATATTACAACATTATGCTAACTAATACCCACATTCTCTCAACAGCAAATTATCGTATTGGCCGCCCTTGTGGTCGTCACCCTGGCCAGACCTGATTATGTTCCCCCCAGCCCAGTGGTGAGTTTACACGTGTTTCCTAAGTATGCCGGAGTAAGTGTTGGTGTTGATGAAACCAAATAATCACACAAGTAGACTTTGGCATGCGTGGTTTAACATTGTTTTGCGAGTGGCATAGTGTTGGTACGTAAGAGAATGAACCACTGTCGTCTTGTTCCAGGATCCTCCCAGGTACGACTTCAACTACGCCGTGAAAGACTACAACGGCAACGACTTCGGTCACCAAGAATCACGTGACGGCTACAACACTGAGGGCAACTATTACGTTCAGCTTCCCGACGGTCGTCTCGAGAGAGTAAATTATTACGTCAACGGCGACTCTGGCTTCGTAGCTCAAGTTGAGTATGAGGGCGAGGCCCAGTACCCCGCCTACCAGCCTTCACCCTCCTATGGGCCCTCACCCTCCTACCAACCTGAACCTAGCTATGGCTAGTCTGACGAACTGGGATATTTAAAATGTTTGTCATATTTTAGCGTTTAGTGGAGTCAAGATATTACAGTAAAGATGCCAATAGAAAACTGTATTAACTTCCCTCTTTGAAGCTTAGAATTATGTACAGTATAATCATCCAACTGCAGGTACGATTATCATACAACTCCTGCAGGCAAGCTCTTCTTTCTCCATATGGCGAATTGAATTGATGCTCTGTATTCTGAACCTTTGGCTTTGCAATGTAAATACAATTAACATTCATACACGAATGCTTATAGATGGATTCAAATTAAATGAAGAATTATTTTTCATTTGGTAATCGTTTTCCCCTTATGTTTGTTCCTTGTCACAGAAAAAGGCAATTCCGCTGTGATGTCGCCTCGTATTTAGTGATAATTCAATGTCATGTGAGAGATATGATGACTGTGTCTTGTGTGTACACTTAACACAAATGCATTCCCAACATTCATTGTTTATTCATTCACATAATTATGTTCACTTCCCGTATTGCTGTTATAGTAGCCTTTGTATCCTTGACTGAGTTGGTAGAGTCAGTTGTCCCCCACAAAAGTGACCAAGCTAGATTATCTTGACAAATCAATAACAATAACTACATTATGAAGAAATAATTAAACGTCAATTTCATTTTCAGAAACTGCCTTCCATAAAAGATTATTGTATGAGTATCAAAAGAGCTTCAGCCGTAAGCTATGTTTAAAAGGTGAGGGAATTATCCACCACTTATGTTGTATGTTAATCTCTGTCACTCATGTTCATCCCAAACCAACAAGACCTCTATCCAGCGAATCACTCGCTCGGCTCTCCTCTTTTTATAGCCTATAATCTACAAGTCAGCACATGAGGGGTGGACAACATGATTCAAGACTCCTTATCCCGAGCTCCAGTGGAAATGCAGCAGCTACTCTCCAAGGCAGCACCAGGTGATCACCTCCTTAAGCTCGCGCTCGGAGGTCTTTGGAGGGTGTGTTACGAACCCCCCGCCCACCAATTGTCGCAATCTACCTACCCCTTTTACTGAACCCGCCATCTAGCCCGTAACCTGATCACCTACCCAGCACCGCGAGCACTTCATCTAGGAGCCCGAAACACAGTATGGCTTCGTCTTAGATTTACCACTTTCCGGGGTTTCCCTTCTCCATATCCTGGTTGTTGCATCACCTCCTCAAAGTCTTCTTTGTCAGCTTCCAGTTCGAGAGAGTTCAGTTCACTCTGGGGGTAATGCAGGATTCACCTTCTGGAAACCCTCGGCACAGTGACTACCTACCGTCCTTCCACAATACTCAAGCCTTACTCGTCAGCCATCTCAGCTCGCACTTAAGTATTTTGTAAATATTATATTGCCTCCCCCGTCCGCACTTGCTTCAAAGTTGTTTATGTTGTATAAATATGTATATACTGTTAATGTTTTTAGGTTAAATATGGTTAAGGGTAAATTATAGAAAGCTGAATATTTTTGTTAAGGAATTTATAAGGTACTTTATTATACACAAACAAAAGCTTCGCATCCTTTGTCTACCCTTTTATAAGTCCGATTGTCTTTGTTTTTTTTGTTATTTATTTGCCTGTTGGGATCTGGGTAGACTTTTAACTATATTCTAAATCCCCCAACCTGCGCAACAAATGCGGCCGTGACAGGACCAAACCTTAAGTGCCATATTCCTTCCCCCCTTATTTACTCAGTATTAATTATTTCCCTCCCAGTCACTTCACATTTCTGGTGCTTTCACAGTGGTTTTTAAAGTTTCCTTCATATGTGTGTGCATATATTGGTATTACCCGTACAATGGAAACAGGCCATCAAGATAATAGGTTCCAAGTGTCGCCAGGCTTACCTGTTATTACACATGTGGCGGTCGTATGTAAGTCTTATCGAGTGTTGGGAAGAATCGGATC